TTATTATTTTTTTTTTCATGGCCGCAGACCGTTGACACGTCCGCGAGGTCGCGGCCTAGGCCGCGACCGCGGACTTGTCCGCGGATGGCCGCCGTCGTGACTACGAAATTGAAACCACACCCTGGAGGTCAATGTTGTTGTGTGTTGGGGGAATGGCGGGGGCATTGGACATATAATTCAGCAACGATTCTTTGGTTTTTTTATATGTTGCATTTGGGTGTTGTGGGAGAGCTGGAAAAATCAAACACTCGCAGACACACACACATTTATCTAATTGTCACTCCATTTATAATTCGTGGACCGAAATGCAAGTTCACAAATTGGTTTATGATAAGCATAAAATGACAAAGTGGAAAAACATAAACCGATACATTCGACACTCATCATCCACAAAACAGGAACACCACAGATGCCAAGACAATGTCTTAACCGAAACGAAAATAAGTGCAGCATGGCTAATAGCAAAATGCATCTCACACATGGAGTCAAACAACTGCCCGTGACGGAGAACCTGGATCCAAATGGCAGAAATAAATTCCTAAACGCCCGCGTCATCTACATAAAATCCCAAACTACTATGCCAGTGCCGGAGAACAGCAATGGTCCTGTGACTAAACCAAAAAAAGAAACAGAAAAAAAAAAACGCAAATCAATGTCGCATGGACAACAGAAAAAAATAACAGACACAAACTTTAAGTCGAAGACCTATGAATCGGTCGCGGTCGCCGCGGGCACGACCGCGGACTACGGTATCGGCCGCGAGGCCACGGTCATGACCGCGATCCGCGGTCATGGAAAAAAAAAAAAAAAAAGATAATTCATAAAACTCTGAAAACAATATATGCTATTCCCAAAAATAAACTGAACAACTTTTGCCTTGGGGTCATATCAAAATACATTACCAAATTTGAGATAAAAATCCAACAAAATCCTTTCTTTTTCTTACTAAAAGAAAAAAAGTGAAGAACTTTTGCCTGAGGGATTTCTGTTTTTCATTTTTTTTAAATCGAAAAGAAAGTTAAAAAATAAAACCAAGACTATACGGTTGTAGAGCGCACAAAAACCTACAACCCCATATTTGTATTTGATTTTTTGGCCTATTATCGTGGGATTTAAAAATGTCGGGGTTTTTCGACTACACTTGGCCGTGAGCGCTGCCCGCTGCGGTTGCGATGCCGACCGCGTGTGGTCAAATGGCCCTTGGTCACGACCGCGGGTGATACATAGTCGAAGACCAAACCCTAAGCGCCAAACATAAAGAAGTGTGAACAGTAAACTGCGGAAAAATACCAAACGCTATGCTGGTGGTGAAAAAAAAAAAAAAAAACTACACAA